GTGGAATACAAAAAGGGAGGTGTGAGGAGGTCGTGGAAATAAGTGAATGAAAGATGGGATAATGAAATTGTTTGATTTATTTTATTGTTTTTGTTTTGTTTTGTTTTGTTAGTTTAATGTATTGTATTGTATTGTTTTTTTTTAGTGTTTAAATTTTTTGGAAAAGTAATAATTATTATTTAAAAAAAAAAAGATGATTTCCAGTAAGGCAGCATACCATTAAAAGGATATATATCGAGAGCTACTTGAGTACTTTGTAGGATCAGGTCCCTACTTTCGTTTTTGTTGTTTTTAGTATTTGTAGTCTCTCGGTTATCAAGTCCAGACCGGTTACACCCCTGTACACGATGGTCTAGAGGGAGGGCAACGCCTTCATTGACAAGGCTATGCCTATGGGTTGCTCCATTGCCTGCTCGGCCTTTGAGTCGTTCAGTACGTTTCTTGATTGGGCATTACGCTTCAGGACTGGGTCGTTGGGCGTGTCTCATTACCTGGATGATTTTATTTTAGTGGCGGATAACAGACAACGATGCTCTGCCCTCCTAGAGGCTTTCTACAGCCCTGGCTGGGGAGCTAGGGGTACCGTTGGCTGCCGAAAAAACGGAGGGTCCTGCCACCTCCTTGGTCTATCTGGGCATTGAGTTAGACACAGTCGCCCAGACCTCTAGGTTGCCCAAAAGTAAACTGGACGCCCTGAAAACATTGATACAACAGCTGTTGCCACTAAGGAAAGTCACCTAAGGCAAATTCAATCCCTGCTAGGTCACCTAAATTTCGCCTGTAGGGTAGTGTCGCCAGGGCGCCCCTTTTGCGGCCGTCTGGCCAGGTTGTCAGCGGGTCTCAGGGCCCCGCAGCATAGGGTGCGCCTCTCCAAAGAAGTCAAGTCGGATCTGGGGATGTGGCTACAATTCCTTGACAAATACAATGGGATATCCTTGTGGCAAGATGCAATGGCGCTAGGTACCGATCTCCAAGTGCAGTCAGACGCAGCAGGTTCTCTGGGTTTTGGAGTTTATTTTAGGGGCCAGTGGTGTGCTCAAAAGTGGCCTGCAGAGTGGCAGGGTCAGCCCATCACGCGGGACCTTACGTTCTTGGAATTTTTCCCTATCGTGGTAGCCGTACATCTTTGGGCAGAGCAGTTCAGCAACCGGAGGGTTTGTTTTAACACAGATAATCAGGCAGTGGTGGCGGTTCTCGCAAGACAGTCCGCGCGCTCCACCAGGGTCGGAAACTTGTTAAGGTCCTTCGTCCTCCTTTGCCTGGAACGGAATATATATTTTTCGGCCAAATTCGTTCCTGGCGTTAATAATGACATCGCGGATGCTCTGTCTCGTTTTCAGATGGAGCGCTTCCGCTCATTAGCGCCAGAGGCGGAGCAATCATCGATGTCTTTCCCGGAGCATCTTTGGAGCCTTGGGAGCAGGAAGTGATGAAGGGAGTATTCGGTGCAGTCGTCCCTTCCACAATGAGATCATACGGGAAGGCTTGGGCCGATTTTTTAAATTTCCGCAGCAGAGTGCCCAGTTCCAGGCATAATTCTATTCCATCAACTAGGGAGGTCCTCCGCTACTTAACTCATTTGAAGCAGCTGGGCAGGGCACCAAAGACTCTCAATATTCAGTCTGCTGGTATTTCCTATTTCTGTAAAGCCCTTTTTGCCACCGACCCGTGCGCGGAATTTATCGTGCGCAAGACCTTGGAGGGTTGGCGTCGGCAACAGCCCCCCAACTCTGACAGGAGGAGGCCCATAACTTTCAATATTCTATTCCAGATTCACAAAAAATTACGTGAAATATGCTGGTCAAAGTACGAAGCGCGCCTTTTCTCCACCGCTTATTCCGTAGCCTTCTTTGGTGCCTTGCGCATAGGTGAGGTTGTCTGTGAGGGAGGGGTGGCCCACTCTCAGAGGGGCATCCTCTTAAGTGATCTGACCCTATCAGAGACCGACCTAATAATTCAAGTTCGAAGCTCTAAGACGGACCAACAGGGTAAGGGGGCCCTCCTGCGTTTACCTGCCACACAAGCTAGTGGTCCCTGTCCGGTTAGGGATATGAGGCGCTTTCTATACTTAAGACCCAATAGCCCCGGCCCCTTGTTCATTCACGCGAACGGATCGCTCTTGGCTAGGCATCAGTTTACGCGAGTGATGCGCTTGGCGTTGGCGGCATGCGGGCTGCCCACGGCTGAGTTTGCGGCGCACTCCTTCTGTATCGGGGAAGCGACCACGGCTGTACACCTTGGTCTCTCAGCAGAGAGGATAAAGGACTTGGGTCGGTGGAAGTCTAACGCTTACAAAGCCTATGTGAGAAAGAACCTTTGACTAGCGATTGCTCCCCTTACCTTGGTTTTTCTGCCTTCTTACCTTTCAGGAAGCAAGCCGGTACGCATTTGGATGGTGGGCCACAGCATCATGCACTGGGCCAGGAATCGTGCCAGGTGCACTGGTCTAGGGCCGAACTTGAGCTTGCCTGCAAATGTGGAGCTGGTGTGGATAGCGCGAAGGGGTATGCGCTGGCGTGAATTCAAGCCAGCTGTGATGGCGAGAGCGGCCTCTGAGGGTCCACCCGATGCACTGCTTATCCAGTTGGGGGAGAACGATCTAGCGTACCGCAAAGCTATTGATTTGAGATGGAACATTTTTGACGATTTGGTCGATCTGAGAGCTGTTACCCAAACATCACTTTCTTGTGGTCCTCGTTGCTCGAGAGGAGGACATGGAGGGATTGTGTGAGCCCGGTTGGAATCAATAAAGCAAGAAAAGTTTTAGAGCGGGCAGTGGAACGTAGAGTGGCGGCTCTGGGCGGGTGCGTCATAGGACACCCAGGTATCCAGCATAGCAACGAGGCCCTCTACAGATGGGATGGCGTGCATCTGTCAGACATTGGAAACGATATTTGGCTGGGGGACATCATAGCAGGGATTAGGAGTTGGTTGCAGATTTAAAGGTATTGGAGGCGAGCTTTGCTCGAGTGGCGGTTAGGCATTGGCAGGGGGTTATTGTTATGCAGATGAAATGGGGGGGAAGGAAGCGCCATCACCTTCCCCCAAGGAAAGGGTAGTCCGGTAAAGGACTCCGGGGGGCGTTGCCTTGTCCGAAACCTAGGGAGGTGAGGGCCTCCGGCACGCCCCCGAGCGGTGACACCCGTGGGATCCTAGTTGGCGTACTTCAACAGGACTCCCACGGTTTGTGGTTAACCCTTCCCGGTCAGCATGCCGGGTAGTCGATAGGAGCCAATGCCTAAGGCCAATACCTTTCAATTCTGTAATCAATAAAGTTGTGGCCTTTTATGCCCATTAACCTAAAACAATGTGTCCTGTGTCTTCATTTCTCATGGGGGAGGGGCCTTGCCACGCAAAGCCCTTTCCGAACTTCGGAGGAGAGGGGGTTGCGGGCGGCCCCCTCCCACACACGCGGGGGCTGGGTTTGCCCCCGCGAGATCCAGGGAATCCCCGGGCGTGCCTGCGACCCGACCCGCCAATCGGCGGGCTGGGGAGGCATGGCCTAGCCTACTTAAGGCCAGGCACGCCCGGGGACCGCCCTCTTTCCTCTCGCCAGCTGAGCGAATAATTTTCCCATCCCACCCACCCTTTAGGCTTAGCTAGCTTTGACCTTGCTATGGACTCCGGTTGGTCGCCGCAAGGGGCCAAGGGGCCTGGTAGGAATTTTTCCAAGTTGGCGCAGTGTCTGCCTTTTGGTTTTTTCGCCTACCTCGTAGCAATCGTCACAACTTCTGCGGTATTTGGCGGTTAGGCATTGGCAGGGGGTTATTGTTATGCAGATGAAATGGGGGGGAAGGAAGCGCCATCACCTTCCCCCAAGGAAAGGGTAGTCCGGTAAAGGACTCCGAGGGGCTTTGTCTTGTCCGAAACCTAGGGAGGTGAGGGCCTCCGGCACGCCCCCGAGCGGTGACACCCGTGGGATCCTAGTTGGCGTACTTCAACAGGACTCCCACGGTTTGTGGTTAACCCTTTCCCGGTCAGATGCCGGGTAGTCGATAGGAGCCAATGCCTAAGGCCAATATCTTTCAATTCTGTAATCAATAAAGTTGTGGCCTTTTATGCCCATTAACCTAAAACAATGTGTCCTGTGTCTTCATTTCTCATGGGGGAGGGGCCTTGCCACGCAATAGATTAAAGGTTGGGAAAGGGAGCACAGAACTAGACAGGCATGAAACCTCCTAATTAAATTATAACTAGTGATTGATTATGTTGACTTAAACTATTACTAATGATTGATCATGACATGAAAGAACATAACAATCGCGTTCCGTAGATGTGGTCAACAATGCATTAAGAACAGGTCAGGGTGTGATGTTTCATGAACTCAATGTGAACTCTTCAGAACATTCCCAGACCCATGCACAGAGGCAAAAACATCCCAGCATCTCCCCCTTTCTTTTCTTATTGGCGAGATGTTACTTTGGTTGAATAAGACAAAAATACTTCGGGATACGTGGTATGCCAGCGCATGCCCGAAATAAGTTCGCCAGGGTGGATGGCACAAAAATACTTCGGGATACGTGGTATGCCAGCGCATGCCCGAAATAAGGCTGTCCACCGATGCTGTTATGTGATTTCAGGGAGAATGGGACAAAAATACTTTGGGATACGTGGTTTGCCAGCGCATGCCCGAAATAAGTCTGCCTACATCTCCCCTAATGTTTACTGTTGGTGCTGCCACTTCGCAAAGTAGGCAGCAATGATTTTGTTGGGTGGCTGAGGGGGAGAGAGAAGCCAAGACAAAAGACTTATGAGTCCAGGAATGCATTGGAGGAAGCAACATAGCAAAATTAATATACATATTATGACAATGGCATATTAAAAGAGATTACGAAGCCAATTAAGGTTTGGCAACCAGCCGGTGAGCCACTGGGTGAATGAATCCCAGAGGCCAGAAAATCCAACGTCCTGTTTAATGTGGTGTGTAAGATTTTGCAAATGAGAAATTTGCCTTTGAACGGCTTTGGAATTATCGGTAATATTGAAGCAACACATGTCATTCACTTGTTCACAGCCATAATGATGAAGCATGAGCAAATAGTGATAGCAGGACGATTTTGTAAAAGTCCATTATGAAGTTCACTCTGTTCTTTATTCAGAAGGTGAAGAGCTTGTGAAGTAAAATTCAGGGCTTTTGCTGCAGAACAAGCTAAAGAATTAATGTTCATACTATTCCGTACAGCCAATCCAGGGACTCCTAAGAGAAAAACAGCTAAAGAGATATATTCAGACCTACTGGGAAGAGAGACAAAAGCATCACAATCATTAGTCAATTCCACAGAGCGGCAATATCAAGAGCGGGATAAATGATGCTTTTTGGGTAAAATGATGGACAAACGGCTTAAACAGCAAGGTGTGCCATGGCTGATGTTTTGGCACATGGTAGGGGAATTCAGCATTCCTTGCGGTAGGACTTTCCATTGATACCGTTCCGTGGGCTGGCTGTTATTTAACACAGGAACAGTGAAAGCAAAGAATTTACGATCCTTCTCCTGTAGGGGAATGGAGAAGAAACAATCTTGCAAATCTATAATAGCCAGTTGATAAGAATGTGGGATCACATTTGGATTAGGCAGACCACACTGCAAAGGCCCCATGGGTTCAAGGATTTCATTAATTTTCCTTAAATCCTGGAGAAATCTCCATTTCCCACTCTTCTTTTTTATGACGAAGATGGGGGTATTATAGGGGCTAACTGAAGACTCTATATGGTCTGCCGATAATTGTTCATTCACCAATTCTTTTAAAGCAAGTAGCTTTTCCCCCGTCATGGGCCATTGTTCTACCCATACCGGGGTGGTTGACTTCCAATTGAGGGGAAGTGCAAGCTTACTCATTAAATTGAATGGTAGCTTGTAATTGTTGTAGTAAGTCTCTGCCCCACAGATTGAGGTGGATTTTCAGCACACAGGGCTGGATATATGCAATGGTTTCAGAGCTATCAGGCAGAGAAACAGGCAGCCACTGTACGCTTTTGGAAGAGGTTTGAGGTCCACCTACACCCCAAACTGCAGAGGCAGACTCAAGGGGCCACGTGGGCTCCCAGCAACTACTGGAAATTACAGAAATGTCTGCGCCCGTGTCAATCAAGCCTTCCAGAACCTTGCCATTTATTTTATACTTACGAAGAAGCGTCTGTTCACCAATCTGCTGGATTACAGCTAACAGCTGTGGGGGAAAAGGAGAGAGCTCGTGCAAATTACTATCCATAATAGAAACAGTAGGGTGAGAAGGGAGCACCACCAAATGCGCCCAGGACTCACCCTTCTTTAACTGCATGGGCATATGGCTCCAAAGTTGAACCATTATTGTGCCCACATAGTCAGGATCTAGGACTCCTGGAATAACCTGGATTCCTTCTTTGGCCGCAGAAAATTTGGGTAAAATTAAGCCTGCGACTTTAGGTGGTAGTGGGCCCGCCAATTGGGTGGGCATAAGCACAATTTCACCAGGTAAAACAGTGTCTTTGGTTTCTTGATTGATTAAGTCGATGGTAAAATCAGAGCGTGTATCCTTTGAGAAGGTTTTAATAGTGGAGACTAACGGCGGAGGGCTCTCTATTTGTCCTGGCCGGAGAGCTGGGCCCCCAAGGAGTTTCCTGAACTCCTGCACTGATTTGCCCAATGATAGCCTTTACCGCATTTCGGGCATTTCTTGGAAGGCTTAGCCTTATTGGCTTCACCATTCCTGTTTGCACCCCCGCCAGGGGCTCTGCATTGTTTAGCAAAATGACCTGGGCGTTTGCAATTGAAGCAGTTGCCCGTGGGCTTATTGCCAGCCTGGATAGCACCGGCAAGCAAAGACATCGCATGACTCTGGCTGCCAACATCTGCACAGGCTTGAATCATATCGGCCAGGTCATATTTAGGGCGATGTATGATCGACTGCAAAGCCTTCTTGCAGTCAGTGTTTGCATTTTCAAAAGCCAATTTTTTCATCAATTCATTTTGAGCTGTAGTGTTATCAATCTGCCTAGTGACTGATTCTTTCAATCTATCTATAAATTGATGGTAGGGCTCCGAATGTTGTTGCTTAATATTAACAAAGGAGCTCAGCGGTTGCCCTGAGACAGGGACTTTGCGAAAGGCGCGTTGCACACAGGTCGCGGTGCGACTAAAATGTAAAGGTGTCAATTGCGCCTGGGCTGGTATATTATCATATGGACCAGCACCAAAGAGTTGGTTGGCTGAATGCTGTGGATCAGCCAGGGCTACTGCGCAATGCTTAAATTCACTTTCAAAAACCACATACTGAGCCGGGGATAAAAGCATGCGCATCAGATCTTTCCAATCTTGAGGTAGCATTGTGTAACCAGTTGCTATTCCCTCCAGCATCCCTATCACATAAGAGGATTTCAGGCCAGAATCAGTAATGGCTTTCCTTAATTCTCTCAGAATAGAATAAGGAAGCATCTCATACATAATTTGTTGTTGCGCAGTGCCAGGGTTAGTATAGGAGATAGGGAAGGCAGACGGCATTTCCCCCGCCCACCCAGCCTCCTCCTCCAAGGAGAGAATTCCTTTCTGTCTAGCTTGAAAAAGTGCAGCACGCACAGCTCCTGTAGGAGAGCACGCAGGGTCTGAGGCAGGCGAAGGAGGGAGGGAAGGGGGGATGGGGGGGTGGATGTGGGCTGAGGCGAAGGGCGGGTAGGGAAGGTTGCGATGGAGGCAAAAGCTTTGGGTAAGGTGGGGGATTGTCTGCTGCGGCCAAAAGGGCAGGGGCCGACGAAGGTGCCTAAGATGTCTGAGGTCCTAATTTAGCGACGGCATCTGCACATTTCTGCCAAGTGAGCAGACAATGAATCGAAGCCCTCGGTTCTGTGAAGAGGGTTTTTCCGATCTTTTGCCAAGTCTCTATCCCCAAAGACCCCGCCTCTGGGTACCAGGGGCAGTGGCAAGCAATCTCACATAACATTCGTTCAATTTCTTTTAAAGAAATATGCGCACCTGCCACTCTCTGTCTGACTAAATGAAGCAGCTCCTTGGCATGCTCTTTTTGGAACCTTGTAAGCTCCCCCCCCCCATACTCACGAAGTAGCGTGCTGAGACTTTTCCAGTCGAGTGAAGTATCGAGGCTGCGTAAAGGGATCTGGCACGTCGGGGGTCACCAGATGTTGGGTTGAAATAAGCGACAGACGAATGGCAAGGTGTCATACGGGAGGCATCTCTCGAGCAAGTCTCGGAGAGTCCCTTTTATTGAATATTACAGCATTTGCCACATATGTGCTTATTGCTGATTGGTTAACACAAGTACAAAGCAAAGGTTACATTAATCACCAGTAGATTAAAGGTTGGGAAAGGGAGCACAGAACTAGACAGGCATGAAACCTCCTAATTAAATTATAACTAGTGATTGATTATGTTGACTTAAACTATTACTAATGATTGATCATGACATGAAAGAACATAACAATCGCGTTCCGTAGATGTGGTCAACAATGCATTAAGAACAGGTCAGGGTGTGATGTTTCATGAACTCAATGTGAACTGTTCAGAACATTCCCAGACCCATGCGCAGAGGCAAAAACATCCCAGCAGGTCTCTTTAATACTGAGTGAGCTATTTTTGGCTGCCAGGAGCACCAACTCCGTCAGGAGAGAGGTTACCTTTTCTAATTTGATGTTAATTTCCTCCACTGTTCTTGCAGTCAGCAGACAGTGGTCCGCGAGTATTTCTGCATAGAGAGGTGCCCCCTCAGATGGTAGTTCATGGGATAGTTCATGAGCGCTCATCTCAGCATTCTCCCCTGGGTGATCTCCACCCATTAAAGCATCCCCACCTACCTGGGAATGAGTTCTATTTGATGTAGTAGGTTCTGAGTTCTATGCTCTTACAAAATCGTCCATTTTACTCTGCTTGCTCTTCTGCTGTGGGCTCACTTGTGGAGATGAGGCCTGTCGTTTCTTTTTCCTAGGCATTTTCCCAGAGATAGAGCCGCTACTAATTTCTGCTGTAAATCAGGAAGCTCGGCGTCTTCCCACGATAGGGCGTCTAATCTCCACTCCTGCTGATAGGTAGTTGGTTGGTTTAGTTGAGCTGGAGCTAATTAAGGCTTTCTCTGGGACTTTCCAGACTTTCTCTAAGACTTTTAACTCAAGCCCTTGACTCAAGCTTTGTAAATATAATAGCTGCCAAATGACAAAGATAAAATACTGAGGCTGATAAAAGCTAATAAAAAACTGATAAAAATAATAAAAACAGCATCAACTGATGCAGAGCTCAAGTCGACGCTACCACTAACGACGACGCTATCTTGGGACTAACGACGCTACCACTAACGACGATGCCTTGAAGGCAGTATCCCGGGCTTTCAAGAGTGACCTAACTTCAGCAGTCATTCAGGGTCTGCTGTTCCCATAAACTCTAATGCTCCCCTCTGTCGTTACATTGTCGGTGCACACTTTTATATAGGGAGGTACAGCATCTGTGTATCTGTGCAGATCTTGATGTTCAAACACACTCCAATCAATACTTTCAAAACAGTCCTGGAGCTGACTAAGAGCCCCCTCTGGCCAGATTCTAACTGTTTTTATAGCTGGCTGAATTCTTCTTCTAAGGGGGATGTACTTCGGACATAAAAAGAGTGAGGAATGGTCAGATGAACCTAAGTGGGGGAGGGAGATTGCCCTGTACGCCTGCTTCAGATTAGAGTACAAATTTTATTCTATTTTTATGTGCGATGCAGTTAATTGTGGGATATGGTAAGAACCCATGGAAGGAAGGAGGTGTTGTAAACAAATTCTGCCCTTCTTCCCTTATGGGGTATCCAAGAGCCTGTATAGAGTCCTTAAGTGGGTTCCCTATCGGTAGGAGAAAATAACAGAGGCCAACCAGAGAATATTGAGAAGCAAAGCAGCAAGTAAGCGTGATCTTTATTAAAGCTGTTGCAACAGGGTGCTCCCCTCACACGCAGGAGGATGGAGGAGGACCCAGAACAAAGGTGTGCCTGCCCTTATATAGACATTTTAAATTTCCTGCCCTGGAGCTCAAGATTGTTAGAATTCCTGTTCCATGTTTGCAGTAATGACGGTATATGTTTTGACTCCACAGAGTGGGAAGTGACGGCGACAGGATGTTTGTGTTACTGTGTTCTGTGAAGTGGGACTATTGTCCTTTGTCCTTTTTCTCTTTGCTGTCTAATGCTAGAGAGAGAGGGAGCCATGTTGCAGTGCTCCGTGTGTGTTTATATGTAAATAAAGTAGATTAGCCAAAATGCTGAGTTGTTGAGACCTGTTA